AATAGCAGAAAGATCTATATTTTATCTAATTAGTTTAAGCATTTCATAATATCTCAAGTATTTTACACAACTTCTGTATCATTCTACTTTTAGTGAACAAGCTGCATATTGATGGTTGTTTTAGTTCAGGAATACTTCACATGTGAATCATTATTGTAATTGGAACAGTCAATTTGGAAGCGCAAAATCCATTCTCCCCACTCAGGGAAACAATTAATTGCAGTATAGACATTCTACTTTTCCCTCCTTTGCAAGCTCAGTGTTTTGGGTGTCCTCCAAAATACAAACATACACAAAAACTATGATTTAATCACCTAATACAAAACTGCAAATCATAAACCTGCATAAACAAACTCATAAATAAGCATTTTGTCTTAAAACACCTTTATTATAGTATAATCTCTCATAACCTATGTACATTTTTCACATTTGTAATGTTTTAAAATGATTAACTTTCAACTTCCTCCTATTGTTATTGCACATAAGGCACTTTTACTTCTAAAGCACGTTTAAATCAGCCACTGCAGACCAAAGTTCTGTACAATATAACAAAATTAGAAAATACTGTATATAAACTGACAAAAAAACTAAATTTAATAAGACTACATTGATCAAAATGTCAGAGAAAAAAAAATCAGTGAGGTTTTAAAACTATCAACATCAAGACAGCGTGTCCCGGCAAATCCTTCCACAGGCAGGGAGCAGCAACAGTAAAGGCACGTTTAGTAAAGGTTTAAACTTCAAACCAGACCGTGGCACAGTCAACATCAACCTGTTTGAAGACCTTAAGGGCCTAGAACATTTCCCGTGGAGAAGAAGATCTGTAATGTATTGTTAACTACTTATATAGAACCTTAAATGTATCACGGTATTTGACCGGCAACCAGTGAAGCCAGAACAGGCAAAATATGTTCCTTCTTTTTTAGTTTCAGTAAGAAGTTCAGGAAAGTGTTGTGGTGGTGGTTGTTGTTAATGAGTGTTGTGGGAGAAAGAAAGAGAGAAACAATCAAAAAAGTGCATTTTACCCCCATGGGGCCTTTAACCTATAATCTAAAAAAAAAAAAAAAAATTCAGCCATATATATGCTTGAAACTTTTAGATTTTTACATAATTTAAAAAAATATTATATTTATATTTTTTAATATAATTTTTTAAAAAATATAATATTATATTTGTATTAAATATTTATTTCATGTTGGCTATTGGCACGTTGTTATTGTGCTTTCTAATTACCTACACTTATATGTAAGCCTTGACATCTTTGACTGTTATGCCGTGTCTCTCTGAACGCTGTGTTTTAAAAATTTGTGGGAAAATGAACTTTATGGCTCATTCTTGTGTTACGCAGTACGTTTGAGCTCCTGCAAGAACCAATGAGGTTTGTTCTCACGCATCCAGCAGGTTGAGTTGTGCTTCTATTACTGTAATACTGATCAAAAACGCACCACTTTTGTTTTTGCCCCCATTTTTCATGAGCTGAACTCCAAGTTCTATTTCTATGTACACAAAAGGCCTATTTATCTCAAATATTGTTCACAAATCTGTCTAAATCTGTGTCAGTGAACTCTTCTCTTTTACCAAGATAATTCAAATAATCATGCACCTCACAGGGGTGACATATCACCCAAGTGAGTTTCCCACCTGTGAGTTGTCACACCCCAGAAGCAGACACACTCTGTCAGTTCAAAGACTAAAACCACTCTTTGGCCAAGCGTACACATAACACACTATAGACTTCCTTAATTCAAAATTAGGCTGCATAGTTTACATCAGCCGGAACCGGGAACACGTCCCGTAAATCCTGATGTACTTGGTACAAGAAGGATGGCGTCTACGCTAATATTAGTTTCTTTGTTTGCGCCTGGACCCATCCCAACTCATCCTTAAGTGCCGGCCTCATCGACACAACAGCCACTGAAGCTCAACATCTCATCTCCAAACCGGCGTGATTACTTCGACTTCCAAACCAACCCGGTCTCATCCCAAGACGTCATATAACTGACGTTTTGGGACGTCTTTTGACCATACGTCAATATTCGCCTATTTAGGGCCCCCTTAAACGTCGGTAGATGAGGTTATGGGATCCTAACTCTACCCCATACCTAAACCTAACCCTAAACCTAACCCGTCACCTAACTGACGTTAAAGGTAAAGCGTCAGTTTTATGACGGCCCGGGATCGCCATCTACCGACGTTTAAGGGGGCCCTAAAAAGGCGGATATTGACGTATGGTCAAAATACGTCCCAAAACGTCATTTATATGACTTTTTGGGATGAGACTGTGTTATCCAAACAGATTGAAATGGACAAATACTCTTAATGTTTCAATCCAATTTGTTTTGTAATGCTACCCGAATCACACTCTGTTCCTTCGTTGGCCAGAGGAGAACTGAGCCTGGGTTCTCCCAAGGTTTTTTTCTCCATTCAGTCACCTGATGGAGTTTTGGTTCCTTGCCACTCTTGCTATGCTTTTGGCTTGCTTAGTTGGGGACATTTAATATTCAACAATATTATTGATCTGTGTTGTATTATTTTCATGTTATTACCGTGAATCTGCTTTGATACAATCTGTATTGTAAAAAGCGCTATATAAATAAAGGTGCCTTGACTTGACTTGACATATCAAGATGCTGATTAGACAGCATGATTATTGCACAGGTGTGCCTTAGGCTGGCCACATTAAAAGGCCACTCTAAAATGTGCTGTTTTACCACACAGCACAATGCCGCAGATGTCGCATTGAAGGAGTCGCATGCTGATTGCAGAAATGTCCACCAGAGTTGTTCAAAGTTCATTTCTCTACCATAAGCTGTTTCCTAAGGTGTTTTAGAGAATTTGGTAGTACATCCAACCGGCCTCATAACTGCAGACCATGTGTAACCACACCAGCCCAAGACCTCCACATCTAGCATATTCACCTCCAAGATAATCTGAGACCAGCCACCCAGACAGCTGCTGCAACAACCGGTTTGCATAAGCAAAGAATTTCTGCACAAACTGTCAGAAACCATCTCAGGGAAGCTCATCCGCATGCTCGTCATCCTCCTCGGGGTCTCGACCTGACTGCAGTTTGTTGTTGTAACCGACTTGAGTGGGCGAATGCTCACATTCGATGGCGTCCAGCAGTTTGGAGAGGTGTTCTCTTCATGGATTGATCCCAGTTTTCATTGAACAGGGCAGATGGCAGACAGCATGTATGGTGTCATGTGGGCGAGCGGTTTGCTGATGTCAACGTTGTGGGTCGAGTGGCCCATGGTGGCGATGGGGTTATGGTATGGGCAGGCGTATGTTATGGACAACGAACAGAGGTGCATTTTGTTGATGGCATTTTGAATGCACAGAGTTACCGTGACGAGATCCTGAGGCCCATTGTTTGTGCCCTTCATCCACGACCATCACCTCATGTTGCAGCATGATAATGCATAGCCCCATGTTGCAAGGATCAGTACACAATTCCTGGAAGCTGAAAACATCCCAGTTCTTGCATGGCCAGCATTCTCACCGGACATGTCACCCGTCGCAAGGGCTGTGCGAACTGTGCAACTGCACAGGGCCTCGCACCACTAGGGGGCCTCGCAATCCAGCTGGGTTCCCCCGTTGAGCTCGCCGACAGGTCAGAGTGTTATCGCGTGCAAACAGTGGGGGATTAGCGGGCGATGAACGCTCGCCAATCTGTTAGTATGAAAGAGCCAACAACGCATCAAAGATGCTCGCAGACATTTAAAAATCTATTCGTGTCTCAGCCACGAAGCTTCAGCCACTCTCTGTGCGAGGACAACACAGAGCGGTTGAAATGATAGTGTCTGTCAGTTATTATAACATATGACAAAAACAATTGTCTAAATTACAGTATGTTGCATATGTAACCCCTAGACCCGGGTCCCACTCGACCTGCTCTGAGCGGGCGTCGAACCCGGGCCTCCGGCATATTGCGCAGGTGCACTGCATGCAACGCAGTGATATGCCACCTGTGAGGTGGATGGATTATCTCGGCAAAGGAGAAGTGCTCACTAACACAGATGTGAACAATATTTGAGAAAAATAGGCCTTTTGTGTGCATAGAAAAAGTCTTAGATGAGTTCAGCTCATGAAAAATGGGGGAACAAAAGTGAAAACAAAATCATGAAAATGCTCAGCTCATGAAAAACAAAAGTATTGCGTTTATAATTTTGTTCAGTGTATGTTCACTGATTAATGTTAAAATGTGAATAAGCCTAAATTAAATCTGTTCATCATGATCGATTGTGTCTTTTCAGAAAATGTGGACTTAACTGCTCAATTTGAAACAGATAGGCCTGAACCTTTCAAAGCATCACAGTGGTAGCTGCTTAGCAGTCAATGCATGAGCAGAAAGCTCTCAGATTTCATCAAAAAGACATTAATTTATGTTCCAGAGATGAACAAGAGTCTTACGGGTTTGGAACGACATGAGGGTGAGTAATTAATGACAGAATTTTCATTTTTGGGTGAACTATCCCTTTAAGGGTTTTTATTCTTTCACCTAATTAAAAGCTTGTTTCAACTAACTACATTTCAGAAACCACAAATTGAACAGAAGTCGTGTTCTAATCGGGAAAATCGGGTTGATAGCAACAGTTCAGCATAGAGCGTTTTCCGTCAGGATCGGTTAAGACACTGCACAGATCACAGGTTCAAGCTAATATGTAGGCCTATAGGTCTAACGCGTTATTGTAGTTTTTTTTTTCTTTAAATTTTTTGTTTGACAAATATATAAAAAACTTTAGTGCTTTGGTTAATACATGGTTGGTTGGAGCACCTCAACAAAACCCTCAAATTATTCTCACACTGTGTTACTATATTATTACGCTAATATAGCTTTTATTTTATGTATTTTAATACACAGACCTACTAAATTTATTTAGCATTTTTTATTTTTCAAGATTCTTTGATGAATAACCTATGGGGATCAAATGCTGTCTATGAAGGTAGCTCACTGGGTTTTGAAACACAGCCTAAATGTATGTTTGTGCGTGCGGGAGCCCGCTGTCAGTAATTCTAGGAGGAGCCCACGCGCTCCACATGCTCGGCTCGAGATGAGCGGCTGTTAGATGCACTTGGATTACCGGCTGCTGAACTGAAACGACGTCTCGCTCACACAAAAATTATGTAAAACAGTGACGTTTCTGATTACACGTCTTTTTAACGAGTGGATATTCTCCTCAGACGGAGATAAAAACACAAGATGCAGTAGCATCACTTATTTTTAGTCCCAGACGATGGAATTCAGTTTGAAAAGCCCAGTGTGAGAAAGTAAAGTACGCACAGGATTTACATTCTCATCCACATAAAGGTAAGATGTACATTTCATTATGTTGGGATAAAAACTGTGGCGCATATTGCCAATAACCTGCAATATATGATATTCAATTCTTACCCCAGTGCGTGATTTGATTTCTGTGGTGCTTTACATTGATTTCTGTTAGCCTAGTTGTTAAATTTGTTAATAATGTGAATAATAAAAATATAGAGAATCGAAAGAAAAATTTTATTATTTTTAAATGTGCACAATATAGCTAAATATTAAGTGTTGACCTGACCTGCAAGATCAGTTTTCCAAAATAAACAATTGTAGATTTTTTTTTTTTCATAGATTCATAATTTCTTACTGTCATTAAATAAAGACGGTATTGGCTGAGTTGAGTTCTTAGAAATTAGATAGTAAGAGTGGACATGTCAGCACTGCAAGATCTATTTTATAAATCTACTTTATAAGAGGCATCAAGTCTGTTGTGACTGAAATCACTCCGGATTCTTCATAAACTGACAGCGTTTTGCAGTTCCATGCTGTGCACTGGTCTACTTAAAGTTCCTTTGGTTATGAATATGATAACCACACCGTTTCATCATTTGTAGAACATTGGTTCATTATATAATACAGAAAGCAGAGCTTCTAGGTTTCTGTCTCCTTTATGGTAGGATTAAATTGGATTTGCCACTATATTCCACTGATAGGATTAAGAGATGCTACGGGAAAGCTAAAAAAAATGATGAAAGAAACCATTACAGACGTTGTTTTTACATTTTCATCAGGATCTTTTAAAGAAAGTGTGTGTTGATATTATGCATATGATATTTTTCCTAACAATGCATGCTAAAGTCAAATGTCAGAAAAAGCACTGAAAATACTAAAGACACAAAGCAGCCATGATTTTGTGTGATAGTACAAAAGTACAAAATCCATTATATGAGTCAGGCTGAGAGCATAGACGTTGCGCTAGATATGGACAGTGATTTTAGACACTGACTGCTTTTAAAGAATGCTTGTGGGTTTCCTTTCTAATCAACCTGACAAGAAATTCATCTCACATATGAAAACAAGGCAATCAAACACGACAGTGAATCACCATAGAGAGCGAAAACAAGCATGTTAATGTAGAACTAGTCTCAGTTCATGGGGTCATGAACATTCACTTGTTGAGCTCTCCCCCTAATTCAGCTAAAGGCTCATGCATTCATTTGTGTGTTTGGGACGGTCATATAGGCCATGTCTACATGTCTGCAGTGCTTCAGATATTATGAGAAGGTAATCTACCAGAAAAACGATACTTGCATGCCACAGACCTAATGGGCTTTTGTAGAGAAGAAGAGTAATAATCTACTTGACTATGACATCCATTGTTGAATAATTGAAGGCTTTTTTACAGTTGATATACTGACCTTGGCTAAGCATGAGCAAATGTTTAAACTTGTTAAGAAAAGATTATGGATTCGATACTATGCAGAAGAAGAAACTGAATATAGCCTAATTTAGCTTCTTCCCTTTGAAAGTGGAGTAAATTTGATAATAACAAAGTGCAAAGCTTATCTAAATGAGAATTACTGTTATACAAAACATGCATTTTAATGCGCTCTTCCTGTAGGATGTATAATATTTATCTTAGTAGTCAGTTAATGATTTAGCTCTAGAGTAAATATGCACCTGAATATGATTACAGATTTCTGTTGAACAATCTCCTTAAAGGCATATTGCACCCAATTGTTTTTTCATCGGTTACTCACGCTCATGTTGTTCCCAACCTGTATGAATTTCTTGATATTTTGAAGAATGCTGTAACCAGACAGTTGACGGCACCCGTCGACTTCTATAGTAGAAAAAAAATTCTATGGAAGTAAGTAAATGGTTACACATCAACTCTCTGGTTGCCAACATTCTTCAAAATATTTTCTTATGTGTTCAACAGAAGGTTTGGAACAACATGAGGGTGAGTAAATGATTACAAAATTACAACATTTTGGGTGAACTATCCCTTTAAAAGGTTTAATGTTGCTCTGTCAAGTAGATTTTGAATTAATTTGGGCACGTTTGCAATACACAGGCAGGCAGGCTTATGTTCATCAATGCTTGTTATGGACAGTCTACACATGAGATGCGATGTACTGTATCAGTAGGTGGAGCTAAAGTACAATCATGTGCCATAGAGCGATAGAGCCGGCCACTACAGAGAGGCATTTAAACTGATAGATGTTTTTGGGCCATTTTAAATGCAAAATAATTTAAATAATTATGCAAATTTATGCACTAAATTTTGAGGTCAGTCGGTAAAGAAGCATTAAATTGATCAAAAGTTCCAGTAAAGTCATTTATATGACAAAAGATTTCTTCATATAAGAAGAGCTTTATAATATATATATATATATATATATATATATATTATATGCATATTGTTTTTTTAACATTGATAATAAGATGTTTCCAAATTCAGCTTTGCCACCACATGAATACAGTACATTTGATTTTACATTGCAATAACATTAACATTAACAATGCATAATTTGTGAACATAATTTGAACTGTAGTGTATGTCTTTTGCAGTAAAGATCTACACTGATCAGTGTTTGTCTTTTTCACAATACATTATAAATATTCATGAGTAATGCCACATGCCCTATTTATCATGATTAAGTTCAATTAATGGAATGCATTGTTTTCACTCAGATATTAATTATCATGCTTGTTTAAACTGAATTGATTTAAGTATTTTTAAATGAAGCATATGAACAGTGGATGCACTCGTCTTCATAAGCACTTGGGTGTGAACGAGGAATGTTATTTTTTTTTGAGCGCGAGAATTGAAGTATCTCAGAAAAAGGGCCTCACAGATTAATCACAGGAAGAGAAATCAAATTGAAGCCTCACAATAAGCTCTTCCTTTATGTCTGAACTATTTCCACACATTAATTAGATTTTTTGCTGCCATTTATCTACCCATTTATGTTCACTCTCATCTTTACCAATGTTCTTTTTCGTTCCGGTGGTCTTCACTGTCAGTTCTCATTTGCAGCCTATTTGGTTTTCTGTATTTTCTCGAGTGCCTCTCTGTTTACGGCGGGCAGGCCGACAGGCAAGCAGAGGTTGACATCAGGCAATGCATGGTTGGTTTGGAGCTCTCTCTCTTTCTTTCTTCTTTTCTCTGTGTAATAGGAGTGTTTGGCATCACATGGTCCTGTCTGCTCAAATCACTGTCTTTTCATCAGTGGCGTTTCGTGATTGCTTTGCTAAAGTTATAGAATATGCTGAACAATCTTAATTGCTTTCCTGAGAAGGTGAGGTTGTTTGTCACAGGTTTGTAAGATTCATTGTCATAGTGTTTTGCAGCTCCGTTGCTGAGGTTTAGACTTCATGCGGTATCATCAAGTTTTTGCTGTGCTACTGCATATTAAATTTATATACAGAAGCAATTTAGATTTGGTTATTGCAATAATGCAACATGCCTCTTAAAGGGATAGTTCACCCAAAAATGATCATTAACGCACCCTTGTATGTTGAACAAACAAACAAACAAACAAACAAACAAAAAGATATGTCACTGTGCTTTAATATCCATACACTGTAAAAATGAATATGCTTTATCTAATCAATAGAATTGTGGCAACAGATTACAAGCAATATTATTAATTAAATTTAACAAATTAGAATTGAGTAATAATTAATCAAATTATTCCTTAAAAGTTAACCATTAAAAATGAGTAAAGTTTACACCAAAAATGTATTTTATATTGCCAACATTGAAAACACCTGATGTTAACAAGCAGAATCACTGAAGGAGAAAATCGTAATTTTAAAACAAACCTTAAATAAACACTGATCACCATAATGGTGACTTGAATTTATGTGTCTTTGGTTGTTGTATGTTTTAAGGAATTAATTTGATTAATTATACCTCAATTCTAATTTGTTAAATTTAATTAATGATTGCTTGTAATCTGTTGCCACAATTTTTACAGTGTACAATAAAAGTCATTGTGGTGTTTTGAAAGCCACTGACTTTCATTGTATGGACAAACGTTCAACAAAAATATCTTCTTTTGTGCTCTGCATTTATATAGTCATGCAGGTTTGGATTGACATGAGAGTAAGTAGCTAAGTTTTTTCATTTTTGGGTGAAATATATTTTTATTCTATATGGTTTCAAGTAATCTTCATCATGTTGGACACTAACGAAAAAGAAAAATGTTATGGTGCTTGACTACAGTAAAATACTTTAGTAATGTTTTCTTATATGGTCATGCTTAGATGGGAGTCAATATGGGACAAGCATATTGAACCGGCTGTGGTCTCAGCGGAGACACTGTCAGGCTGCCATATGTGTTGTGTAATGGACTCTATAAAGCTTTTATGTAAGGTTGAATTGGTTTGCAATGACTGACAGTTGTGGAAGGCAAAAGAATAAGCTTGTTTTAAAAAAAAAAAGAGCAACCACTGATCATATGATGTAATTGTCGTTGATGGTTATAAATAGATAGATACAAACAATAGCATTTGGTTACTTTATGATAACTGCAGTCAAAGTCATAACACTTTGTGTAGTTTAGAATTTACAAGCTTTCCACTTGTAAATCCAAAAGAATTCATTGATACATAAAAATGTTATGTGTGTAGGAACATGCTTTTCCAATAAATGTCTCCCTCTCTCTAACATATTTACTTCTTTTAAGCTATTTATGTTTGAAATGTTTGAACCTTCAGGCCTATAAAAGCAGCTTTTGTCTATGCGTGTTTCCATTATTGAATAATAAAAAAAAAGATAACTGCGACTCACAAATTTCCTCCTGATGTAGTAAAATCGTAATTGCAGAAAATGAAACTTTTCCGCCTTTTACAATTCTGACTTTTTCTTGCAATTGTAACTTTATTTCTCAGAAGAAATGTCCACTGTGGGAAAAGTCAGAATTGTAAGATAAAAAGTTGCAATTACCTTTTTATTTTTTATTAATTCTTTTGTGGAAATAAGCTTCCGTATAGGCTCCTTCCAGCCCAGTGTCTTATTTGTACCTCTCCCAAGTAAATAT